CGTGAACAGCGACCTGTGAACAGCGTCTCGTTGACAACTCCTCTTGCTGTGCGCAGGTCTTCACAGCCCCCTCGCAGACGGAGCTGCCCGCGCTGCGCAGCTTCCTCCGCTTCGCCGCGCTGGCGCACCACCGCCGCTCCGCCGACGGCGTCGAGGAGGCCACGGCCCGCAAGCCGATTGGCGCCACGCCGCTCGACGCGCCGCCCCGCCGCCGAGATCACCCGAGATCACCCGAGATCACCCGAGATCAGGCGCCACGCTGCTCGACGCGCTGTCCGCCGTCGAAGCGTCGGCCGACGCCGAGGCTGGGGGCGAGGCGAGCGGTGGCGGCGGCGAGGAAGCAGTGCCGCCCAACGACATCCCAGCGACATCCGACATGTCCTCGATGCTCTTCATCGCGTCGGCAGCCTTCTCCGGCCCAAAGCCAGGCTACGTCTACACGAGCCGCGGCGGCAAGCTCGGCTACCACCGCGACTCCTCCTCCGGCGGCGAGGGGCTCACGGCGCTGGCGGCCGCCGCGGCGAACGCCGAGGGTGGCCCGGAGGCGCAGAGCAGCATGCGGCGCGCGGACCCCGAGATGGGCCGCATCGTCCGGGAGGAGGTGGCCGGCGGCGGCGGCAGCGGCTCGACGGGCTCGGTGCCGCATCCCGCGCCCTCCGCTGCTGCCCCGCGTTCTTGGGCAGCCTCCTTCTTGGGCAGCCTCGGCGCCCGGGCGAGCAGCCTGGTCTCTGGCGGTCCGTCTGGCGGCGGCGGCAGCCCAGCGGTGGTCAAGCAGTGGTGCAAGGAGATCAAGGTTGGCACGTGGCAGTCCGGCGAGGGCCATGTCACCTTTGGGCCGGAGGTCTTCACCTGGCTCACACAGCGGGAGGTGCCGGACGTCGGCTTCGTCACTCTCAAGATGCGGACGTCGTCCATCCACAGCGCCATCTTTGACAAGCAGAGCTGCGTGCTCATGATCCACGGGATGGTGGAGGTGCCGATGGACAAGCTCGACCGCTACTACGACTTCCTCGCCAACCCCGGCGCGTCTCCACCCCGCCCTCTTCGTCCGCCTACGGCCTTGCCACGATGCCAGACTCCCCTCGTGTGCGCACCCTCCCCTCTCATTCCGCCACGCACCCTCGCTCGCAACCCTTTCCCCGCAGGCCACGTACAGAGTACTGTCCAGCCCCTTACCCTACCCCGTGCGCACAGGATCGCCCAAGTGCTACCTCTGCCTCACCTTCAACGACATGAACGCCTTGGCCGAGGTGCTCAAGGCGGTGCCGCGGCTCAAGCAGAGGACCACCTTCCAGACCGGCACTCTCAGCGCTGCAGCAGGCGCCGGCACGAGCGCTGCTGCCAGGCAGCTCGCCGCAGCCACCAGCAGCGCCGCTGCCACCGGCGGCGACGCTGCCCCTCGCGGCAGCGGCACCGGCGCCCCGGGCGGCAGCGGCGGCGGCGGCGCGGGCGGCGGCGGCGGCGCCGGTCCGTTGGCAAGCCGCACCCCGAACGCGCCGACCGGTGCGGCGGGCAAGCGCCCCGCAGCTGCGCCGGCGCCGGCGCCGCCAGCCAAGAGGAAGACAAAGGCGCCGCCGCCGACGGCGAATGACGTCGTCATTGACCTCGACTCGGACTGACTCGGACATGTCCTCGACGCACGGCGTTATTGACACAAGCCACAATCCATATCTGGACGCGCAATGACCAATGTTCTCTGTGTGTGTGCTTGCGGCGACACGCCATGTGCAGCTTGTGGCCCACCACTTACACAGGTTTGGCCCGTCGAGCCGCTGCCACAATCTTGTTCGAGCCAGGACCTCGTGGTGCCGGTAGGCGTAGCTACATCGTACATGCACACTTCCCACAAGTACCGCTTGCCCCACCACCTTGTATGCTGTATCGGAGAGGCTCGTCTACGTCGCGTTTTCTCATGCATAGAAGGCAATCAAAACAGCTCTCTCTCAACTCTCATAGAAGGCAGCAAGACCTGGGTTGTGCCAAGGCGGCGCCGGCGGCGGAGGAGGAGGAGGAGGCGGCGGTGGAGGCGGCGGCGGAGGCGGCGGCGGCGGCGGAGGCGGCGGAAGACGAGGAGGCGGCGGCGGTGTCCTGACAGTGACTGCCGTGAACGAGCGCCCTGGCGCGAGCGCCAACATTCGCTCTATCTGCCGTCTGCACGTCTGCAAGTTTTGGTCGCCGGTTTGGGGGCCCTGTTCACGCGCGCGCTGTAGAAAACAATAGAAAACAATCCAACGCTGGTCCCTCCATGGCCCTATGGTATGCGGGTGCTGTGGCTGTGCACTGCCTCTGCGCTTTGGGTACGCCCCGCCCGTGCTCAGCACAAACGCAGCTTCATCCCCGCGGCCCGCGCCCAAGCCCCGGCCGTTCCCTCCACAACACCTCACGAGAGCCCCGCCGCCTTCTTGACGAGGGCGGGCTGGTCCTCGGTCGCGCCATTGAGCGGCTGCCACCGGCCCTTGCCCCACCAGACCGAAGTGCCCGGCACCTCGACGGGCGCCTACACGTCTCGGCACACAATCTCGGATCAACCTCGGCCGCGACGGAAGAGGCGCTGGCAAGCAGCGCGGCGGGCGGCCTTGCAGTGCTTGCACGGCTGGGTCGACACCTTGTGGTCGAGAGATAGCCGAGATCAGCCGAGATCTAGCCGAGATCGAGATATCTAGCCGAGCTGCACGGCGGGGCCGCCACCTTCTTGCCATAGTCGTGGCCGGAGCTGCCGAACAACTTGAGCTGGTTCTGCACGTCGCACGAGCGGTAGCGCCGGTCGGCCTCCGTCCGCGGCGCGCTCTCGTCGCGTTCGTGCGGCTGCGCGACACCGTGCGCCCGGAACAGCTCGAGCGCCTGGTAGCAATTTCGTCGGTGGTCGTGTCCCGCGCCGCCGTGCAAAGAGGGAAGGGGGGGGAGGGGGGCGGTGCAGACACGAAGGGAGGCAGGGAGTATGATAGGGAGAGCGACAGTGATAGGCAGAGGTAGAG